CTGGTGCATGGAGTATCATGAGTGCTTATCACTCGTAAGTGTGTCTTGACAGTGGCCGTAAGAAGTCGTTGACAACCTTTGCTTAGATATGACGGCATCCCTGCTGTTGCGGACTACCATACTCTGACCGAGATCCTGAGAGGCGAATGGGGCTACGATTTCTTTGTCATGAGTGACGCCGGCGGCACAGATAGATTGTGCTCGGCGTTCAAGCTCTGCAGAAGCAACCCTATTGACATGGAAGCCGTCACTCTTCAGGCTCTTCCCGCCGGCAACGACGTCGAGATGGGCGGTGGTTCCTTGTAAGTTCTTGTCTGGGATTTTATCGATCGTCTGCTGACAATATACAAAGCAACTTCCAGAAGATCCCTGAACTGGTCAAGTCCGGCAAGCTTGATATCAAGACTGTCGACACCGCCGTCTCGAGAGTGCTGAGAGCAAAGTTCGAGATGGGCCTCTTTGAAAACCCCTATCCCGCCGCTCCCGAGTCTCAATGGAACAAGCTCATCCACAGCAAGGAAGCTGTCAAGCTGGCCAGGCAGTTGGACAAGGAGTCCATTGTTTTGCTGGAAAACCACAACAACACCCTGCCTCTGAAGAAGAAGGGCGACATTGCCGTTATTGGACCCATGGCCCATGGATTCATGAATGTAAGTGCCGCTTTGCAAAGTTCATAACATTGACAACCGTTGCTCATACCCATTAGTACGGAGACTACGTGGTCTACAAGAGCCAGTACCGGGGCGTCACTCCCCTAGACGGTATCAAGGCCGCGGTTGGTAAGAATGCAAATATCCACTACGCCAAGGGATGCGAGCGATGGAGCAACGACCAGTCCGGCTTCGCCGAGGCCGTGGAGGCAGCGAAGAAATCCGACGTGGCCGTTGTCGTCGTTGGCACCTGGTCGAGAGATCAGATGGAGCTGTGGCAAGGGCTCAACGCAACGTGAGTCACCCCCAGTTGAGCGAAATACCCTGCATCGCGAACTAACCCTTTACACAGGACCGGCGAGCACGTCGACGTAAACGACCTCTCCCTCGTCGGCGCCCAAGCCCCCCTGATCAAAGCCATCGTCGACACCGGCGTGCCCACCATCGTCGTCCTCAGCAGCGGCAAGCCCGTGACGGAGACCTGGCTCTCCAACTCGACCGCCGCCCTGGTCCAGCAGTTCTACCCCTCCGAGGAAGGCGGCAACGCCCTCGCCGACGTCCTCTTCGGCGACTACAACCCCTCCGGCAAGCTCTCCGTCAGCTTCCCGTCCTACGTCGGCGACCTCCCCATCTACTACGACTACCTCAACTCGGCCCGCTCCATCGGCGACTCCGGCTCCGAGCTGCCCAACGGCACCCTCGTCTTCGGCCACCAGTACGTCTTCGGCAGCCCGCTCCCCTGGTACCCCTTCGGCTACGGCAAGAGCTACTCGACCTTCGAGTACGGGCCCGTCACCGTCGACAAGCCCAACGTCACCGCCTCGGATACCATCACCGTCAGCGTCGACGTGACGAACACCCACACGAGCATGGACGGGACGGAGGTCGTGCAGGTGTACATCCAGGATGAKATTGCGTCGGTTGTGGTGCCGAACCGCCAGCTCAAGGGGTTCGAGAAGGTGGTCATCCCCGCGAAGAAGACCAAGACCGTCAAGATCCAGATCAAGGTGCAGAATCTGGGGCTGTGGAACTCGGCGATGAAGTATGTTGTTGAGCCGGGGGCGTTTACTGCCCTGGTGGGGAGCAGCTCCGCGGATATCAGGGGCAATGCTACCTTTTACGTGCAGTAGAGTAGATGCTGTTGTGGCTTTTGTACAGGTGGTCTAGGGTTGTGCGTTTGGGGCAGGTGTATATAGTTTATTTATAAATTACTTGTCAATATGTGCAGGGCTGCGACACTGGCATTTGGTAGATTGGCGTATGCCTGATAGGTTGTAATATCTATGGACTTGTCCATGGAGTCTGTGCTTCGGCATAGGAATATGTTAACATGACAATTCATCGTTGTCCTATAGATACTTTCCAATCTTATGTTCAATGGTGAAGCTTCGAGCGTAACATATTTTGAAGACTCTGGGGGATATCGCCTAGAGTTCCTCTGTCTGAGCACAACCTGCAACTAATATGGCGTGGCCACCTGCACAACTAGCTACAATACAGGCGCTAGCTATCAGAGGAATCTGCTTTCGCCTCTGGCCCTACAGTTTCGTTCTCCGTGTCGCCATCCGATTTTGACTTGGCGCTCTCAGTCTGCTCCTGGGTGCTGGGGTCGGGATTAGGAGTAGCCCCGGACCTGTCACTGTTCTTGACTGTATCCGCCGTAGAAGAAGGACCCGCAGCGGCTCTACCCTCCGCCCGTCTAGTCTTCGCTCCTTCCTTCAATTTCTCCCATCGTTCTCGGTAGCGGCCCAGGACGTCCCGTAGTTTCTCATTCTCACGGCGGACGCGCTCCAGCTCCTTTTCATTGCGGCGCATGCGCTCTTCCAGCTCCTTGATACGCTGGTCCGAGTCCAAGCCAGCGGAGGGAGACACAGCGGCGGAGGAGCCCTGAGCACCGTAAAGATGGTCGGGCCACGGGCCGTTGTGGTGGTGCATTGCTTTCAGGGACTGCTGCAGAGCCATGGAGGATGACTGCGCGTTGACTTCCCACATGTGCAGCCGTTTGGAGAGGGTATCGGATAGATGCTTGAGCGCCTGATTCTCCATCTGCAGTTCCTCCATCGTTTTGGGGTTGTGCAGGCTGGTGAGTTTGTCCGCGGCGCGACTCGCCCGGCCGCGTGAGCCCGTCAGACTCTGGCGTAGCTCAGGCGATGCGGGAGTCTCGCGCGCATCGACAAAGTCATCGTCCGCCTCGTCGAGGCTGTTGCGCCGGGCTTCCTTCTCGGCTCGGGTGAGGATGCCGGCGTACGAGACTGTGCCCCCTGTGGTAGGCACGACGTAGAACGATTCTGCGGTGTTCCCTGCTCCGTTGCCGCTTGAGTCTCGGATCGCGCGGAGGGCGGCGCGGGAGAAGATCTTGCTGACGTCTGGCTCGATGAACTGGCCGACTCGGTCAGAGGTTGCTTGATGGCGATCGACTTTGGTGTCGGCGGATGATTTGCGTCTTGCGGAGTCGGACTGCGTGGATGTGTCTGATCCGAGCGGGAGACCGGCAAATGCTAGAGGTGCAGAAATTTTAGAGATGAGACCTTCAAAAGTCGAGTAGAAGCGTTGGAAGGGCTCCTCGGAGGGTGTTGTCTTGGTCTTCTGCCGCCCTGGTTCGACCGCTTCCGGCGGCACGAATTGCTGAGATGTGATTTCGGTAGGACTGGTGACTGGCGGGGACCAGGGTTGTTTTGATGCAGATACGCCGCTCGGACGGTCCCTTAAATTGTGGGCTTGCGTTCCTCGTAGTCGTGACTCTCCGGTCTTCAGCTTGCTGGGACCCTCGGTCATCCTCGCCCCCGCCTGTTGCGAGGATACAGTGGGGGAAACGGGAGAGGCACGGCGGGGGTGGGACGGTATTCCTCGTGCAAAGGCCAGGTTACTGGCAATGGAGGAGCTTTCTCTTGCCGGTAACCGAGTGTTGCCAACCAATCTAGGTGGCTGCTGCTGCGCTTGCTCTGGCGAGGTCTGGGCTAACCTCATCGTCTCCGATTCTCCAGTTCCGGTCTGCGCAGTGGCAGCGGATGTAGTACTGACTGGATTCTCATGTTGAAAGCGAAGGATTTGAGCGAGCTTCTTATGATGCTGCTCGAGCAGCTGGAGAGTACGCAAGGCCTGCGAGACAGATAATGAACACCGCGTTAGATCTTGACTGAATGTTGAATTTCAGCAATGCAAATGTACCTCACGGTCGAAAATATTTTGGGCAGCTGTCGCAAATTCGCCAGCAGCCAAGTCGTGTTCCTCGCTCGCTGCCACAGGATTGGCTTTGCGCGTCTCTAGGACGGCGTTGCGGGCGTGGGTATGAGCCTAATTCGGTGGGATTAGTAGGAGGAAGTACTGCGGTACATAGATGACCAGCACATACCAAGGTTAGCGGCGCAGTCTCCATGGCTGCTGCGTGGATACCGATTGTACCTAATGATCTGTATGCAGTTGTCAAAAGCAGCTCAGTGAGATGAGGGGAAGAGCATGAAGAGATAACTCTGATAGGAAGTCGTGACGCCATACGCAGACCGCCAAAGTGTATGAGCCTAAGGCATCAAATGAAACCGTGACATTACCTTACCTTTACCTTTTGCAATAAAGGTCCCGATCCGGACAATCACATTTAGCACCCTTCAGGAACAGGGGGGGTTTGAAAGTACTACCATTCACTACCTATGTAACTTGTCTAGTCCGTACTCTTGCCCCTGTCGACCGTAGATGATTGATCTAGAATTTTGATGCCAAAAATATGTACTGTAGTACCATAAAGAAAGCCACAGACTCCACTCCCAATCCAAAAATAAGCGTGGGCCGGGTGTAATACCGCTTCATGACAGCCATTAGATGCTGGGTGTCCACAGTCTCACAGGGGAGGTGGTAATACGCATACATCGGAGCTTTCTGCAGCGGATCTACCTGGTAACCTGTCGACGGTCGTCGTCATTTTCCTGTGACCCTCCTCAGCTTCTTCTCCATCGTGTCCCTCACTGATTTTCGTTCATTCTGATTCATTTTTATCTACTCTATATCTACAAATTCTGATCCCTCGATTCTAAGAGAGAGAAAACCAGCACATTCACTCCCATTTGTTGTGAAACCATGCTGCTGGGAATGCGGTCGTCCACAACCGCTCCCCCCATGCTGTTTTTTCCCCCTCTTCCCTATAACTGTACAGCCTGAATTTCAGCCACCGGTCCTTGATGGACGCTTAGGCAAGAATTCTGTACTGTATTTCAATTCTGCCACACTCAAGAAACGGCTTAAGGTTTCCCTTCAGATCATTGATTGGACTGGAGTAAACATTACTCACATTCTGCGTCGGCTCCTCGACCCCGTCCCCTCGTTTCCTTCCCTTTTCCGCACTCCGCTATATTCCTCATGGAGGAACCCACAATCCCGGAGCCTCCTCCGGTTCCCCAGACTGAACCACAAGGTTTCAGTAAATCCAATCGAACCTGGACCACTCCCGCCGACTTAGACACCATGTGGAGCTCCGGCCGCAGCAATGGGCGCGCGTCAATCTCATCCGGTTCTGATAGACCTAAATCACAAGCGGGCGAAGTAGCCGAAACCGCAAAGGCAGGTTCCAGCGGGTTTTCCAAGCTACTGAATGCTCGGCGGAAGCGAAAGAAGGAGAAGGAGCAGAAGCAAACGGAGGAACTGTCACTAGTCTCGGAGAATGATCGGGACCTACAGGAGAGTCGATCAAACGAGTCTCGCGGCGAGTCCTCGTCGGCGAATGACAATCTGAACCCGCCGGGCGAAGTCATCAATCTTCTAACTGACGATTCTGAGCCTGATCGGTAAGCCTTGACGCATAGCTCCTCTACCATTCAGGAGAAGCATTTAATTACTGACGCTCTCCCTTTACCTCTGAAGGACTCCTCCTCTCACTACTCGAAATTCCCATACCGGCTTCTTCACTTCCTCCTCACCATTAATCAAGACTACCTCTGTGGACCCGAATGACACCGACGAGGCGCAGGCAGACGCCGAATCCACCGTCAGTGGGCCAAGTGCAACTGGCTCGGAGACTTTCCTGGAAGGAGAACTCTCCAGACCCGCTACCTCATCGGGCCCTATGTTGAGTATCCCAGAGGAGCGCAGCAGTAAGAAGCGCAGCGTCTCGCCGGGCAGGCGGCTGAAAAAAGCGTTTAGCTCAAATTCAAACAAGAAGGATTCCAGTCGCGAACGAGCACCTTCTACCTCGGGCGAGAGCAAGACGAGCGGCGGCCTACTAAGCAGAAGAAGCAGCCTCTCGTCGAAGCGCAGCCAGACCATGTCCATCGAGCCCCCGCCTGTACCCACACCAATTCTGACGGACGTCAAGGAGGACAAGCCTCTGCGGATTCCTGATGGACCCAACCCGCCGAGAACGCCGCCACATACTGCGCATCCTGCACCTCAAACCACCGTGACCCCTCCCACTCCGACTAATAGTCGCTCAGAATTCCCTAAATTATTCTCCTCCCCTGACGTCACAGAGTCTCCAGAGTCCGTCAAGTCGAAGGACCTACTACCGTCAGGCGTCATTGTAAGCACGTCTGGAAACATGATCTCGCACCGACGCGTGCGGTCTGCATCCTCCGCGTCTCACAAGCCTAGTAAACTCTCAAACTCTATATCCGCGTTGACCCCTACCGCCGAAGAACCTAAATCTACTTCCAGGTCTCCGTCCAGCAACCAGCAAACTGGTTTCTTCTCCTCCGTATTTTCCGCCGCCCAGAATGCCGCGTCGACTCTGAGTAGCAGCCTCAATCCACAAGCCAAGGCACGAACAGTGGCCCAACCTGAACTTGCAGCCTCCGACGAATCACAGCCCAAGGGCACAGCGGAAGGCTCGAAAGAGAATGAGAGGCCAACTGGGGAGAGGAAACCATCTGCCATCGATACGCTGGGGTCTGGAGACTTAAATTTCAGCCATCTTGACATTGATGTGCCTTCTGGCGGCGTTTCGACTCCCGATGGCGTTGTGATCACGAAGCCTGATAGGGCGCCTGAGAAACGTGCCGCATACCAGAAGGATGAGGAGGCAGCAAGACTTGAGGATCAACACGCTGCGCGTGCGGTCTATATGGCTTATGAAAAACCTTCTGAACAATCGTCAGCGCATCCGGCGGAGGAGGGCCTGGAGTTGCAATCAACCAACTCCCTTTCACGCACAGATGATCAGACCACTCCGAGCGGTAGCATATTCGAGGGCGAAAGTGGCACTCGGCCTCATCGAAGCGGAAGCGTGCGAAGTCGACTGGCTCAGAGGCGTCATCGAGGCTCTTCCGGTGCGACCGCATCAACGGTGGGACTGGTTGGGGCTAGCGCCATTGCTCTGGGGGTACCGGGCGCCAATGCCAGTGTGCCTCGCCTGACCGGGTTCGCTGTGGCGAGCAAGAAGAGGAACCGGGATTTCCATCAACTGTTCCGTAGTGTTCCCGAGGATGACTACCTCATTGAAGATTACAGCTGTGCCTTGCAGAGAGAGATCATCCTGGCGGGGCGTATCTACATCTCCGAAGGGCACATTTGCTTCTCCAGCAATATCCTTGGCTGGGTTACCACTCTCGTCATCAGTTTCGATGAAATCGTCGCCATAGAGAAGGAATCAACCGCGATGGTGTTTCCCAATGCAATAGCCATCCAGACATTGCATGCTCGTCATACATTCCGAAGTCTACTCAGTCGAGAGTCCACCTATGACCTGATGGTAAACATCTGGAAGATCAACCACCCGGCCCTCAAGAGCTCCGTCAACGGAACCAGGGTTGCGACCGGTACCGGTGATAAAACCGAAAAGGCTGGCGAGAGCGATGTTGAGAGCGATGTTGACGAGGAAGACGAGATCTATGACGAGGATGAGGAGGGAGACAATGCTGAAAGCGTCTTCGGACCAGGAGGCGCCAGTGCGAACGGCAGCGAGCGCTCACTCCCTACGAAAGGACTCAGCCGGCAAGCCTCCGGCCTGCTTCAGAATGGCAATGGTACAGCGCCGACTGCGATGCCCAACTTCAACGGAGAGTCGAAGTCTGGCAAACCGAGTCCAGGTGGGGATGCAGATGCTGACTTCCCGGGCCCGGCGACTCACCCGCCAACGGAGTATACCGAGCCCAACGGCCAGTATGACAAAGTCATCAAAGACGAAATCATCCCAGCTCCTCTCGGTAAAGTGTATTCTTATGTCTTTGGACCGGCATCCGGCTCGTTCATTCCCAAGTTTCTTGTTGAAAACCAGAAGTCGGGCGAACTCCAGTTCGAGAGTGAAACGAAAGGCCTTACAACCGAAAGCCAAACCAGGAAGTATTCATACATCAAACCACTCAATGGCTCCATTGGTCCCAAGCAGACCAAGTGCATCAGCACTGAAACCTTGGATTTTCTGGACCTAGAGAAAGCTGTTCTCGTCACGCTTTCGACACAGACTCCCGATGTGCCAAGTGGGAATGTATTTTGCACCAAGACCAAATATTTGTTCACATGGGCACCGGGCAATCAAACACGGTTTTTTATGACTTGCACGATTGAATGGTCGGGCAAGAGTTGGTTGAAAGGTAACATCCGTTTTCGCAGCTTGACAAACGTGGACTAACGCTAAGAGTATATAGGTCCTATCGAAAAGGGTGCCATTGATGGCCAGACCACATTCGGCAACGAGCTTGTCGCTGCCCTCAAAGCCGCTGTTGCTCCCCGTGCTCGTGGCGCTGGCGCTACCAAAGCAGGCGGTAAAAATGGTAAACGTAGAAAGACCGATACGGGGCCCGAAGAGGCAGCCACTGCGGCCTCTAACACAACTCAGGGTGCGAATGTGTCGCATGCCAAGTCTTGGGGTTTTCTAGAGCCGGTCCATGGGCTGCTTGGGCCTGTTGTGGATATCCTCAAACCGGTGTTGAATGGCAATGTTGCTGTTCTGGTTATTGGCATTTTGCTTTTCATGGTCTTGTTCCGAAGCCCTTCTCAAGCCTCGCGGGTGTCGCATGATATAGGATGTCCTGGTTATTCCTTGCCTCAGCGGCTGGCTGCCTATGAAGAGATGTGGCGAAGGGAGGAGAGTGAACTCTGGAGCTGGCTGGAGGATCGAGTTGGCATGGAGGGGATGGCCTTTCCGGCAGCTAGCCGACCCACCGATTCCCAGCTGCGCCAAGGTTCCCTTCAGCTGCAGGACAAGCTGCGCAATGAGAGGATGTCTGATCGCGAGGTGAACCATGCTATCAGGACTACTCGCGAGCGGCTCGACGTCCTCGAAGAGATGTTGAGCAGACGAAACTCGCAAAAGACCACCGACGATGAGGCGCTACATCGAGAACTGTGATACCCATGGAATGGATCACAGCCGTTTTTCACACACCTACCAAATCCCACATCCGCCTTCTTGGTTGACGATCAGCTGAGACTTGGCGTGTCCCTCACTTGAATTCATTTTCCATCACTCTTCGTACCTCCATGACCGTGTTAAGCGGGTCGTTTGCTCTTCGACATGACTTATCTTTCGTCTTCATTTCTAACTCTATGTTGGACAGCGATCAGCTATTGGCGTGAGGTCCAGTCTCACTTTTTCCCCATCCATTGTCTTCTTGCTCATATCTCCGTACAGTTTGCTTGAGCCTCCATAGGTTTTCTTTTCTTTGGTATTTGAATATCTTGTAAATGAGCGCCAACTGCATGTCTATATCACCTCTCGCTTTCTGTTCTTTCTTGTTTTCGGACCCTCTCTTGGGTTGTATAGGACGATTTCTACTTCGCTCAGTGCATAGAATGCAAAACATCTTTTGTCAAGGTACAATTCGAGGTCACTACAGCTAGTGGATGCGTAATGTGAGATCATGCTACGGAGACATGGAGGCTTATGATGTTGGAGCAATCACATCAAGATTCGGAAACAAATGCTCTAGACGGCCCTGAATCTAGACAACAAAATCGCTAGCAAGTTGTCAAGCACACAAAACTATACAGCAACAGTCTCAAGCACACAGAGAGTATATGAACGGAATCAACTCCAAGATGCCATATATCAGAGCCATAATTATAATGCACATGTATAACGTGGAAGTAAGATTAGATGGGGTAAATAAGTGATCGCACAGGCGGATATAGTACATGGTGATGGCTAACACCGATGACCCGAGCGATCGGGTATATTCGTAGTCTTCGTAATGTAGTAGACAGGGGAAAGAGAAGGAGGAGGATGCTGTCAAGGCTATGAGGTAACCTTCAACGGAGGCTGGTCGAGCGACATACGCGACTGGTCCAATGACTTCCTCAGCTCGATTGATTTGCGCATCTCCTCCTTGCGTTTGTTCTTCGCCATTTTCTTCGCGGCTTCCTCGGTGAGCTGTTGGCGGAAGAGGCGCTCGACGACGTCCTTCTTGCGGGTGCGGCGGTCGCCGATCATGATCAGGACGCCGCCCATGATGTTGCAGGTGATGGAGCAGCAGAGGATGACGGTTGTGAGGGCGAAGGGGCGCACGTGGTAGTTGATGCCCCATGTGCAGGCGCCAAGGGCGATTTGGAAGAGGGAGTGGCAGTCGAGGAGGACGACGATGGCGATGAGGAGGCGCAGGGGGAAGGCGTGGTGGGTGTATGTTTCGTGAGGCTTGTAGAAGGTATGGGATTTGGCGAATTTCTCTTGGTGGTGCATGAGTTTGCGCTGTTGAGTGGGGTTGAGCACAGAGAACTCGTGCTCTTCATCCTTGGGGTTGTCGCCGAGTTCAACGTCGACGTCTACTTCGCGGCGCTCGGGGAGGTCGTTCTTGTCCTTGAGCGCGGGCAGGTCGCGCTTCTTGCGGATCTTCCAGGTTAGAAGGGTGTAGCGCGCAATGAAGATCATGTGGTAGGTGTCGATGGCTCGGAAGGGGGCCAGCCCGTCGCCCATGACTGCGAATAAAGCCACGAGGACGTTGTCGATGACATTGATGACGTAGAGTTGCTTTCCTCCAACATTGATCCAGCCTTTTTGTATGTTAGCGTCGGGATTCGGTAAAATCTGGGGAGCAGGACATACCAATAAGGAAAAGCACCCATGCAAGACCAAAAAGGGTGATGAGAGTTGCGTATAGAGTAACCAAAAACCCGAGCGCTATCGACAAAACTGCTATCAGCCACGAACCACAAGAGCAGCCGAAACATGCACGACAAACGACTTACGTTTCGATATGTATTTGCCAAATCCAACCATGGATCGCTTGAAGGCAGAGCGTCGCGAATGTAACATATGTCTGACCCGATCGTTCAACTCCTCCAACTCTTCCTTTGTCCATCCTTCCAACGTCATTTCCTCAGGCAGAACAGCAAATTGGCGCTCGGGGCCCTCGTCTAGCACAGAAGAGAGGCCGGTGGCTAACGTCGGACGGGTCTGCTTCGTGTCCATCTCTGTTGTTTCATCCCCCTCGGTCTCTGTACTTGACTCATCGCGAGGGCTGGGCGGCGAGAGGGTATATGTGGGCATGCGGTTGATCCAACCACCTAGGTTCGGTACAAAGAGAGAGTTTTGGACGTTGGTGAGGGTAGATAAAGCAGCTACTTCGGGGTCTGCAGTATAGATTATACGTTTGATCAGCAGCTCGTCACATATAAAGCTTCGCTTACAATTACTCACCAATGACGTCCAGCACATCTACCATGTGAGGGTGATATTCGTTGACGTTCGGATTTGGAGGCGGCGTGACAGGAACAGTGCCATTAACGGTTGACGCGCGGTTCCGCGAGAATCGATTCAGAGCTGCTTCGCTCGTCCGACGCAAGACATTACGGCTTCCTCTTCTTGGAATTACCGGTGGAGGAGGCTCAAGGTGCGCTGTCGAAAAGGGCTGGGACGAAGGAAGCTCGCCAATTGGACTGTGAGGACTTGACGGCTCCTCCTTCAGAGAATACATGGGCATCACGTTCGTCTGATCGCCTGTCGTCAACAGCGGAGGAACGAGAGAGTTGGACGCCGACCAACGACCCGGACGAGGCTCGGAGCTGCTACGCCGGCGACCCTGCCAGCCAGCATCGCCATCATCTCCATCGCCACCATCACGAGTTCCATCATTCGGTGTCCCATCATTTTGAACGGCTCTGGTAGCGTCGGGCCCTGAGATATGAGAATTTCTTCGAGAATTGAATGCGTCCTCAGAGTTCACGCCCAGGGTATTACTGTTTTCCGCATTTAGCTGCGCCTGTAAATTGAGGCTATTGATTGAGGGTGGGCGTTGGATGCGGATACTTGGACGGCGCGAGCGGAGTGATGAGGCGCGTGGTCGGAGATATGACGTTGTCCCTCCAGGTATCGCATCGTTGGAAGAAGGCGGGTGTTGGTCCTCAGAGGCATCGGGAGAGCCGCCCACAGGCTCTATGCGATCCATTGGGGATAACTGAAGAAAAAAAGGAGCGATGTCCTTTTCCTCGAAGATGAGGTGCAGAGGACAGGGAAGAGTTTAAGATGAAGGTTTTGCAGAGGCAAATAGGATGATGTACCAGGCGAGGCAATGGTTAAGGAACCAGGACCAGTACCAGTAACCAGCCATTCAGCATGTCCGATGGAAGTCCGGACTCCTTGACCAATCAATCACTTAGGCCTTTAGGGTATCATCCATGGCTCTCTCAGGGCTTATCAATCTGCCTGTAGCCCTGAACCCCTCTTAAGTCCCGTCACTAAGAAGTCTCCGTTCCATGTCCAATTAACGTACGGAGAGGCGCAAGAGGAGATCGTCTTGCCAGCCCATGCTGTCTCCAAGGATAGGCCAGCGCGATTTTATTTGCTCTCACACTTTTGTCATCCAAGACTTGCTGTATTAATTATCAGAAGGCACAATCATAACTCGAAATCTGGACTGGAAAAAAGTTGATGCCTGAGGCCAGAATTTATCCGACTATTAATTAACAAGACACAACCAGAGAGGTATGTTGACTGGAAAAGCACAGAATCAATGGATAATGATTCTAGCACAGTAAATATTCTAGGCTTAAGCATGCATTAATCAAGAAAGAATGATGGTAGAAATGAGATTCCCTACTCTATATAGTAAATCTATCCTACATCCTCTTACAGACCCCTGTAGTAAATATATAAAGGCCCTAATCTACTCTGTAAGCATCTACCTTGCTCTTCTCTCTTCCTTCTATGTAAACATATCTCTTGAGGGCTTTCTTTGGAAGACTCGTTAATTAAATCAACCTTTACAATAAAGTGTGCACTACTGAAACTGTGCCAGCATAAGTAATTGTCGAGCTATGATAGTAGGGATGGGGACATAACACAGCAACAGTACGTCAGTTATCTGCATATTTGGTCCCAATTAATTAGGCCTCGAAGACCTGAACACATCCTGACAATGACTGAAAGGAAGAAGACTCGGACCCTCAAGTCTGATACAGCCCCAAAAACCAAGTGACTCTGCAATGGTACTGATTAGCCTATTGATGCCGAGAAAGAAGTGCTAATGTATCTGAAAGAGTCGGAGGTGCCCAGCAAAAGGATGAACAGAATTCAGGGCCCAATGTCCAATGTCCTCGTCAAAAAGGCAAAACTCCGAGAGGAAAAGAAAATCCTGCCGTTACCGAGAATAACGAATCGAGCCCTAAGGTAAATGACAAGGCTATTGGAAGCATCAACATTGGTCAGATAGTAGATTCGACCGCTGCAGTCAAAGACCTAGCAGTCACCAGACAAGCTATATAAAGAATGTTTGTCAGTATGATGCTCAGCACTGCAGTTGGCCTGTCGCTCCTGTCGCGCCCTTTGATGCTCGACCGAGAGCTCAGCACTACCCTCTGCCTGTGGGACAACTTGGCGACACTCAACCTCTATCGCACCCTTTGTCAGGCAGCCTCAAAGCCCATTTGGTATACATATACAGGCGGGAAATCAACCCGGCAGCCACCCCGGTATCCATCCTCACATCCATAATATACAGCACAGTACCCAGCGGGCAAGCCCTTATACGGAAGCATTCTTCAGAGACATGGCGTGAATGGTCACACAGAATTTCCCGTGGGAGTTGTTTGCGCAAGAACACGGCTGTACAGTCCCCGAAGTTTCTGTGGCATTTTGCGCGTAATCTTTGCCATCCTCGGTGACCCAAATTCATCTGGAAGAAGGAAGAGCATATCGCCACAGCTGAATTCGGTAATATGATGATTCATGAGTGGTGGAAGTATTACTTGAGCGTGTTAAAACCGAGAGGACGCATTCACCAGATGATGCAGCCGCCAACCCGGACGACCATTTTCACTCCGAGTCAAGGGGCATGGCCGCAGGCACAGATGGTTGAGACTCTTTGCGAAAACCCAGCCGGTAAAGCTCTACATACTGCAAGCCAGAATGAGGTTCTC